GAAAAGAAGGGAAAGCCAGTGACCGCCGAACTGTTTGGCATCCTCCGACCAAGAAAATTCGGGAACGCCTTCAACTTTTTTGTCCGTGTCCCGAGAAAATCGAAACGGTTGACAAGTCTGGTCTCGTTCTATAAACAAACAAAAAAAAAAAAAAAAAAAAAAAAAAAAAAAAAAAAAAAAAAAAAAAAAAAAAAAAAAAAAAAAAAAAAAAAAAAAACACCAAAAGCGCTCAGTGACGGGCCCAGGGCTTCTTCCTCTTCATGAACTTGGCCTTGTATTGATCACTTCCTCCCGCCATTTTCGTTTTCTGCAGCTCTTGGAACTTCCGTTTGCGATAAGCTGTCACTGCCTCGTCCGCAAGAATCTCCTCTGCCATCGTCTGCTTCCGCTGTTTCTTCGTCAATCGGCTTGAGTAGAACTCGGTAGGTCCCTCTATCACCTTCCCGATTTGGAAATAAGTCGGATAGGGCTCTCGTTTATCGTTCGTCGTTTTGTAATGGCGTTTGGGATCGATGACGGCGCGCAATCTAATTAACTGCAGTTCCCGCCTGAGTTCAGGGGTCAACTGAGGGGCAGGTAGGTCGAACCACTTGGAGCCTGCCGTCTTCGGGGCCGACTTCATCGCCGTTCTCCTTTCCTTCTTAGGGTCAGGCGGGGGCACTGTAAACCTCTTTTCCAGCGCGGAATCCAGCCGAACGTCTATCGAACTAGCCGCCATGGCTTCCTCAAGAGCAGTACGGGCAATCATCGCGCTCTGGTGGACTCGTACTGCTCTCTTGCTGTCTGTCTTCTTCTTCTCGATCCCTTCTATCTCCTCCCCTCCACCTCCTGGTCGTCTATCAATCACTGCAAGCCGTTGAGGAGCATTCTTCTCATTCTTTTCCCCCTCCCCCTCTCCTTCCATCCCCGGCAGTGCAATTCCTGTGTCTGGAAACCAACGAAGCATGGCGTTCTTGCCTTCATTCTTCTTGCCAAATGCATCCGAGCCGTTGGATGTCAGAAGAGACACTCCGATCTCTCTCCTACGCTTGTCTTCTTCCATCGCCAGCACCGTTGACGTCTCACTGTTCATTCCCCGCAGTCGTGAAGCGATGGATTGCGCAACAATGTCCGCGAGATTCTCATCTTCCTCTCCCTCTTCCTCTTCGTCTTCCTCTTCGTCTTGTTCACTTCCCCCGCTTTCCTTCTCCTCCTCCTCCTCCTCCTCCTCGTCATCATCATCATCATCATCATCGTCGTCATTATCATCGACATCCTCATTGTCTTTGTCGATCACACGATCTGAACTCCCATCCTCCACCTCAGCATACTCCCCTCCTTCGTCTTCATCCGAGACAGAAGCTTCTTGCAGTGCCTTCCCTCGATGTCGGGACTGGTCATCTTCTTCCCGCTCGCTATCACCATCTCCACCTCGCCCGGTTTCTGCAAGGGCGGCCATCGCCATCGCCATCGCCATCGCCGGCGGATTCAAGCCCGACAGGGAACTTGCTTGCTTCAGTCAATCCTTGGCTGGGTAACTCGTCTTCCTCATCAAATGCCCACACGGCTGCCGATGGATTTGCGTACAGCGAAGGCGTCCAGCGAGTCTGCTTCCACTTCCGCAGGCCTCAAAACCCCCTACAAATCGGTCGAGTGGGTACCGAGGGGCAGACCCCACTGGTCGATCTCCAGTGAAAGCGCCGCCTCCGTGATCTTCGCCGCCCGAAGGCTGTGCGATTTGGGTCTCGTTGCACGCCACCACCGTCTTCCGCCGAACATAACGCATATGCGTTGTAAACGAATGCACGTCTTAGCTAGCTGGCTATCCGAATACAACGCATATCAATTGTATTCGAACAGCCCTGATTTCCTAATTCAACACATGTGCGTTCTATTCGAATACAACGCGTGCGCGTAATGTTCGGGGGAAGACGGGTCGAACAAGTCTAGAATTCTAGTCTCCGTGGAACAGTAATTACTAAACAACGTGTGCGTTTAGGCCTACAAGTTTTTTTTTTCCAAATCTTTCTTTTTCTTTTTGGGATAATTTGCAAAATACCCTCATAAGTTGAGATATATGCCAAAATGCCCCTGAAAGATGTGGGTAGAGCGGAATGCCCTGTTGGACGGAAATCTTTGTGTTGTGCCCCTGTCAGGTGGGTGTGCAACTTTGCAATCTGGACCTCCCCGTTTGGGCCTTGGCCTTTTGCGATAGCGCCTAGGAGAAGTTGGCAAGTACTTGGGCATTTTGCAAATTTTGACGGTACCCGGTAGGGGTATATTGCAAAGATGGGGGTCCAACCGATGCAAGCGGTATTTCACAATTTTATTTTTTTTGTCAGAGGGGCTCTACCCACACCTTTTAGGGGCATTTTGGCACATACCTCAACTTATGGGGGTATTTTGCAAAATATCCCTTTTTTTTTTTTTTTTTTTGAAAGCTGCCTTCTCCTCATCGGGGGCAGCCATATATTTTTTCTCTCACCTCACATATCTTTTAACTGGCGTTCTGCCATGTCATCATGGAAAACATATCTTTCTTTTCACTACCTACCACTACTCCTAAGGCTATACAGGGGACCCATGCAAGCATAGCTTTGTACCTCTCTTCGGTGAAGGGAGGTTACCTCTCTCGGTGGAGATGTATTACATCAATCCTATTAGAGAATCCTCTTCCTATCCAACGTATGGCATGTTTGCCTCTCTCAGTGGAGAGGGGTAATGGCATGTTTGCCCCTTTGCCCTAGCGTTATCAGTAAGGTCTTCAGCCAACACGGGTGTGAGTGCGTGTGTGAGTGGGTTGCGTGTGGTGAGTGGAAGAGTGTTGGCTTTATTAGACACTACTGTTACTCTATGGGGGTGGGGGAAGATGAGAAGGGAGGCACAGTTATTGGCAAATGCTCGGTCCTTGTCTTAGCCGGGCCTCCACCGGCGGCGGAAGAATACTCCCTTCAGGTAGTGGTGTTTTTAGCTGATGTGTTTTTCTTTTTCTTTTTCTTTTCTGCAGTTTTTCATGACCTTTCCAGTGGTGCAGAAGGAAGCCCCTTGCCCTGAAATTTAGTGCGGAACAGAGATACTTTGCCCTCGATTTTGGAGTGAACAAGAGACCCTTTGCCTTATAATTTTGTGCAGTATTCTTCCGCGTTACTTGGCACAAAAATGTGGAAGGGGCGACTCTCGTGGTTAATAGGTAGTGTCATTTTCGGCGAATTTTTCACCAAAACTGCTGTACTTCCCTGAATTTTTACTTTTTTCTTGTTTCTTTTTGGTGTGTGTGTGTGTGATATGTATGTGCTTTAGGGTATATCTGTATTCAATAGTTTGTTCGCAAAATTTCCGACGACATTGCTTGCAGTGATGCAGCGAAAACCCCCAAATTTTGGGTCTTCCATTAACCATCTCTCCAGGTGGGGGACTGGGCAGGCGGGGAGACATCAGACGATGACACGCCCAGTGTAACCAGGCAACCATGGGTGGGTATGGGCGGAAGATGTTCCACAACAAATGAGGATCGGAAGGTAGCTTTGTCAACTTAGGCTCGTGTGAACTGGTAGTTTCAAAGCTTTAAACCACCAGTACCTTTCCCATATGTCGGCCGTGGGCACTGCTCGCTGGCCCGAAAATCAAGAGTGGCCGGCGGCCGCTGATTCGATTTTATCGACGGCTGCCCTTCCGTTTCAGGCCAGCGCGTTACCCGGCGCACCTCTGAAAAAATAGCTGGGAAAGGTACTGGTGGTTTAAACATGGCCCAATCTTGTAACTCAGATGCTGGACCAGCTTTTTTTTTCTTTTTTTTTTTCCCTAAAATGAGCCCGGTGCCCAAGGCTGATATTGATATGTGAGAAAATTGGGGCCGCAGTCCTCACAGTCTACCCGGAGTAACCGGACAGAACATGCTGAGAAACCGGTCCAGCGTCCCTCAGATAATGACGACGATGATGATGATAATGAGAATGACGATAATGCTAGAGAGAATGATGAGCAACTGATTGGAGATAATTACTAAATACTAATCAGGATGTTCATCTACTTAGAACTCAGCTTCTTTCCTCTCCCCAATTCCTGGTATCCATACTAATTCAGCCAATCTCATTCTGAAGCTATGTTGTGAAATATAGCCATTGCTCAAGTTGAAGTTATCAGACTGCTTTCCTCCCTCAGCAATCCTCAGTCTCCTACAGGCCTCAAGCTCCTAAAACAGGTTACAGAGCAATGCCCACTAATAAACAGGAGCCGTCAACAAAAAGGGCTCTACTACTGGAGGATGCTCTTACCCCCTCAAGTAGTAGAGCCCTTTTTGGTGAGAACACCTCTTACACACCACATTTCACCTCCATTTGTAGAATCGATCACTGGAAACTCTCATACACACCACATTTCTACTTCATGAAAGCACATATATAGGGCCTCGCCGCACCACTCACCACAGATCCACTACTCACCGCGGCACCATTGTCAGAATACGTCTTTGCCCTGCGGTGAGTTGGTTGTGGTGAGTGGTGGGGCGTGGTGACTCACCACAGGGCAAAGACGTCTTTTCCCCTGCATGCAACAGCAGGGTTGTGGTGCATCCTCTCGGGCGCCCACCACTTTTGGTGAATAACTCACCGTTCCAGCCGGTCCCAACTGGCCCCGGCTTCATCTTGTAGCACTCACCCACGTGGAGAGTAGGCGCTGACAACAACCTTGGAGGGCTGGTAGGCCCTCTGTCGCCCACCTACCAGCCCTCCAAACAAAAGTCTTCGATGGGAAAGTCGTTCGTGACTGCTACTATTCCAGGGACAGCTGCTTGGGCAGCTCCTTTTCCAGGGACATCTGCTTCCACATCTGCTTCCCTTGACCATGACATCAACTGGCAGCACTCTTTCCATCTCCCGGGCCGACACGCTCTCTCTCTCTCTCTCTCTCTCTCTCTCTCTCTCTCTCTCTCTCTCTCTCTCTCTCTCTCTCTCTCTCT